ATCTTCAGCCAAATCTTGCTTGCATGTGATATCAGTGATACTGTTCGATAATTTCCACACTCTGTCAGAATACCTTTCTTTGGAATGGGAACAAATTTAGGTTTCTTCCAGTCACTTGGCCAGGTGGGTATCTTCCAGATTTCTTGGCATAACTTGGTGAGCACATCCAAGGCAGCGTCTGTTGTTGAAATATGTCAATCGGTATTCTGTCAATTCCTGGGGCCTTGTTTTTTGCCAATTCTTTCAGAGAAGCTTGAACTTCTTCCTTCATCACCACAGGCTCTTGCTCATACATTATTTCATTAAATTCTTCAGACATAAATAATGTATAAACAAAATGGAGCAAAAAAATCTTTATTACTTATTTTTTAATTTCATATGATTTTGGGGTGTTGTGAAATATTCTTCCTCTTTTGATTCCCTTCCTCATCTTCAGCCATCTAAAATGATCAAAACCATTCTTTGGCCTTCCAAAAACATGTATTGGGCCCACAGACCATAGTTGATCAAATCATCAGTTAGATAATATGAGGATTTCAATGTATGAAATATTTCATAGTGATGCTGTAAGCCCCTAGCAGAGATGGCAAACAGAATGTTTATTTTAATCTTTAAGTTCTATATAACCTTTTCTCTTTACTAAAGGCAAAATATTTACTATATTCTTGAGTGTCTTAGGAAAAAGACTTGAGTCCTTTTTTCTCTTTGAATTTTATCTTCTTGCTGAAAATATCCCCATTTAACAGAAATTTTTGAGTACAATAACCAAATCAACCTCTTTAATTTATGCAACCTCTCTCACCCTCTCTTCTAAATAGTTCCTCACTATTAATACAAACTAATTGTTCCCTAAGGTCTCTATCTAATCTTTCCAGGAGTTGTTGTTGTCAATTGATTCCATTTAAATAATCCTTAAAAGAGTATAATGTTCAAGGGACTTTCCCCTATCCTTATTGTTATGTGATATTGAGTTGGAAACAACTTGTAGCTGACCCCTGTGCTCCCCCCGGCGCCCGGCCCCCAGCCCCCGGCCCAGTGAGTTTTCAGAAACTGTAAATCTCATGGAAGGAGAGTTCCTAACTTTCTTCTGTGGAACAGCTGGTGGGTTGGCTATGCAACTCCCTACCATCAGGCCTCCCATTTCTTCCCTCACTAAGATGGGCCATCTACTTCCTAAATAAAAGGCTTTCAAAAACCCTATGAACATTAAACTGAGAGGGTAGTTATAGTAGTGTACAGGACTGGGTTTAGACCTTTTTTTCACAGGGTCGCTATGAGTCATATTCGACTCAATGACACCTAACAACAATAGTTAAGGTAAACTACTATTTGGCTTACTGAAGATAATTTAAAAATGCCCAGATCAGTACACCAGTAGAAAATGTCCAGAAACTCCAGCTGCATTCAGGGAAAGACATGGAATGTGTATATCATTGCTGGCGTCAGAGATCTCTCAGCTGAAAGCAGAATAACAGAAAGGTGTTTGCCTATGCTTTCTTGACTATGCAAAGGCAGGCATTCCACTCTCTTATGAATAACAAATTATGAATAGCACTGGAAAGAATGGAAATTCCACACAATTATTCTCACACAGAACTCGTCCATAGACCAAGAAGCAGTTGTTTGAACTGAACGAAGATATCTGCAGTTTTAAATCAAGAAAAAGAAAAAAAAAGTCTGTGCCAGAGTTGTAAATCTTATGGAAGGAGAGTTCCTAACTTTCTTCTGTAGAACAGCTGGTGAGTTGGCTTTGCCACTCCTTACTACCAGGCCTCCCAGTATCCTTTCAGCATACTTATTTAATCTGTATACAGAACAATTAAGCTGAGATAGAAGAACACATCACCAAGTGTGGGAAGCCAAATTTCATACTAAATATTTATAATAAACCAAATGCTATATCGGAATGTGAGGGAGACCAGATACAAGCTGGAATTCTCCCTGAAGCACTAAGGCTGACTTTAGATGTATACAGGGTGTTTACAGGCTAGGCACTAAGGCAAACCTTAGGCTTACATGATCCTGGTATTGTATTTGCTAACCCCTCCCTCCTGAGTCAAGAATAAGGTTTTCAATAGAAAGAGCTTAGCTTCATTTGCATAGAATTCCCTTTGTGATTTGCTCTCAGGCAATTTTCAGTAAAGGCACAGGGATGCTGGCATCGGTGTTTCAAGAACTGTTCGCCTCTTTGCTTTACCTCTAAGTTTTCTCCTACATTCTTGGTGTTCTGTCTCATTATTAATGCTTATTAATATACTTTATTCTCAGTCTACAACAATCAGGATCCTAGGAAGATTCATTAATCATTGATATGCAGATTATACAATGTTGCGTGATGAAAATGAAGTGGATTTCACTTAATGATCATGATCAAAGATGGATTTCACCCCAACATAAATAAAAACCAAAGTCTTCACATATTGTTAAACAGAGAAACATTTAAATTTTTCAAGGACTTAGGTATTTTTTTAATAAAAATTTATTTTTTTTTAAAAAAAAGCATATTAAGGGTAAAGTTTCACAGGTGACTTTCAGGAGTATTATCAATAAGTTGTACATCTGTAAAAGATTATACTAGCAAAAGGTATATGAAAGATATTATTTACAACAAGGACAAAAAAAAGGAAGTAGTAGCTAAGACTGCTTTTGCACAACCAAATCCTCATGGGATTTGGATCCCTGGTTGAAAAAAGGCCTTCGTTTGACTTGGATCCACAGTCAACTCCCACGGAAGCAGCAGTCAAGAAATCAAATGACATGTTAGGCACACCTGCAGCCAAGAACCTCTTTAAAGCTCTAAAGAACAAGATGTCACTTTGAGGACTGAGGTGTGCATGACTATGGTATTTTCAATTGCCTCATATGCATCTGACAGTTGGACACTGAATAAGAAAACTGAAGAAGAAATGATGCCTTTGAACAGTGGTATTGGTGAAGAATAGTAAATATACAGTGGAATTTCAAAAGAACAGACAAATCTGTCTTGGGCAAAGTGCAGCCAGAATGCTCTATAAAAAGCAGCAAGGGTGTCAAGGTCCACATACATCGGACATGTTGTCAGAAGGACTGGCTAGTCCTTGGAGAGAGGCCTTACAGTTGAGAAAGGAAAGTAGAGGGAAGCTAAAGAAGAGGAAGACTCTCTGTAAGAGATTGACTCAGTGGCTGCCACAATGGGTTGAAAGCATAGCAAGAATCCTGATGATGGCTTTGGACTAGCAGGATTTCATTCTGTTGTATAAGGGGTCTCTATGAATTGGAGCCAACTCAATGGCAGCTAACACCTATAACAATTCATTTTAAGATGACATCAGGGGATATTTTTGGTTTAAAGTTTACATATTATCTCTAGGCAATAGTTTCAGTGGTTCACCTACAACGCATGACTCCAGAAAGTCTACGTTGTTGTTGTTAACTGCTGTTGAGTCACAGATGACTTCATAGTGACCCTATGAAGGAAAGTCCTCAACACTTGTGTGTCTTTCATCCTCTCTCCAGGTTCATAGGGTTTCTGGAGGCTTCCAAGCTTGTTTTAATTGGGGAGCTCCCCCCAACACTGTCTGCCATGGGTAACCAACCATTAACGCATTTGACACATCAGTATCACAGTATTTAGCCTCACAGCAACCACAAGTTACCACTGTATGGCAAGGGAACACACCAGGGCTATACAACCTAGAGGAATGCTTGAATAAAAACAATGAAAGACAGGCCCAAGGGCCGCGGATTAAAAGTCACCCACCTTTGGCTTGGTAGCATCACTTCCAGAAAGTCTATAGGCTACAAAAATGTCAACTTCTTTCTCCTGCATTCTCTGTTGTGATCAGTAACAGACTGCGGGGCCTTTAATAAAAATGTTCAGTAATGGTGCCTGGTTACCATCTAGTTCTCGACTCATGGCAAAGAGGGCAGTTCAAGGAGGCAATTAGCCACACATTTTATATACACCATATACTCTAGTCTTGACTCTCTAGCTTCTTCAGTTGTTCCAGAGGAACAGAGACCAATTATTGTGCTTGGATGGCTTGCTTGAAAGCTTTTACTACCTCAGACACCACACAATCAGGCCAATTATCTGGGATATCCCATAAAACTATGACCTTAAACCTCTAGAATCAAGAAATCAAATACCACGAGGTGTTTGGTCATAGTAAGAAGCCTCAGTAATTTTTCTTTCTAGCGGCAACATTTTACCATGCAGACAAAGCCTGCCACTTAAAACAAATTGTCACTTCCTCAGTTTGCTCACTATCACTAAAACCACACATCTCTGGTTTAAAGAAAATATCCCCTTGAAGCATTCCTTCCCCAAAATGCAACATTAGAAGCTAAAGTGTAATTTAATGTTGCATTTTTTTAAGAGATTGACAGATATTGTCAAATTTCATTTTAACACACACAGGAACGGATACACGATTTCAACCAATTCTACATGTACAATTCAGTGACTCTTTACTGTTGTGTAACCGTTTTCACTATTTCCAATTTATTCCACCACTATTCAGTGTAATCATGGCTCCCTAAATTTGCCCAGTCTTTTCAGATGCTGTTCCTGGTCAATTTTCGACTCCACGCCGATAAATCTTTCAAAGACAATCAGTGCTCCAGATTGTTTTGAAAATTCGGAGTAATCTTAGGGGTGAGAGTCGGTAGCTACAGAAAGTTTAGATAGGAAAGAAATTCATTAGTTGACATATCTAATTATGTGATCAATGACAAGCTGCAATTCCCTGGCACAGGGCTCTGACAGCGACACTCCCCGCCCCGCCCCGCCCCGCCCACTACAGCCGGGGGGGCGGTGCCAGCGATTGTGTCTCGAACTTCCGATCCCACTGAAACTTCGGTCCCACCGAAATCTCCGTTCCGGCATCCAAGGAGGCTGGGTCCCAAGGCCTTGGGGCGGTCACGGACGTGACGTAGAGACGCGCCCTCCATTTTGTGGCACTCTAGCGTTGTTAAGTGCGTCAGTTGTGGAGAGACGTAGACGAGTTAAGTCCTGGTCTGCGGGGAGGCAGACGACTCCACTGCAGACTACGGACGGCTCTGGGTCTCAGCTGCCAAAGATCTCGTCCGGTAGGTGAGTGGCTCACTTTGAGGGAAAAGGCTTCTTGGATCGAGGCTTCTTCATGGCAGCTCAGAGCGCGGGGAGCCAGGGCTGGCCTCTTTGCGGAGGACGGCGTCTAATGACCACAGTTTGTTCGAGGTGGGCGCTGGGACACGTCTCCCTTTTGGTATTGCTTGAGGGGGTGTTGTCGGTGGAAGGGCGGCAATGCTTATGATCGTTTGCACACGGGGTTGCGTACCACTCCCCGTGTTTGTTTTTGTTTTTTTTTCTCTCCGCACCCCTGGAGTGGTGGTGGGTCGGAACACACCCCGCATCCGCTCGGGCCGGGGGTGAGGGTGTTGCGGGCGGCCCGGTGACTCCTGAACCTTGGAGTCGGGGAGGGGGAGCCAGGGGGCGGGAGAAGGGAGTTTGGCACGCGCGGCTCTTCCCCCCACCGCTGACTCTGCGGCCGCCATCTTGTGGCTGCCCAGGGTCCGCCCGCCGCTCTCTGCGCAGGCGCGGCGGTGGCGATGTCGCGAGACTCCGGCTTCCACCTGCTGTGACGCTCCCGGGAGGCGGCGACGCGCGCGCGGCCTTCTGCCATTGGCTGGCCTTGCGGAAGGCGGGGTCGGCTCCGCCCGCCCTTCTCGGCCTTTCTTAACTGCGGCAGCCGGGAGGGGGCCAGAAGAGCCGGGGACAGTGTGCGGCTGCGCAGTCCGAGCGGTGGCGGTGGGCGTTGCGGCTGCTGCGGTCTGGGCCCAGGGAAGGATCGTGTTGGCAGCCGAGTTTTAATTTTGTCTGCAAGGGACCCGGCCTAAAAAAGCGGCACGCTGGGCCGTCTTGTTTAGAACATCCAGCTGGTAAACACTTTTCTTTTCTGCCATTTCTGTTTGTTGCCCCCCCAACCCTTTTGACCAGACTTGGCTCTCGGACGCGCTGGTGGGGTCTCAACTGAAAAGCACTCTCTCCTGACAGGAACTGGTAGCCGGACGTCATGAGCGGCTGTCGAGTCTTCATTGGGAGGCTAAATCCCGCGGCCAGGGAGAAAGACGTGGAAAGGTTCTTCAAAGGGTATGGACGGATAAAAGACATTGATCTCAAAAGAGGCTTCGGCTTTGTGGTGAGTACTAAGTAGCTTCATTATCTTTGAAGTTAAGGAGATACAATAGTCTTACAAGCAGTGCTTGCGGTCCTACTAAGCACTGGTAGAACATGTTAGGTAAATGAGGTGGTGGTCGTGTGCATGCGATCCTCTGTACAGCACCCCTAAACCCTGCTCTGCCCTGTGCCAATCTCACCATCTCCAACACACCCACCCCCATCACCCTAGTCCATCCCATCGAGGGTCTTCCTCTCCTGCGCTGTCCCTCCACCCTCCCGAGCATGACGTCCTTCTCCAGGGACTGGTCCCTCCTTGCAGAATGTCCAAAGTGTGTCACAGGAAGCTTTGGAATCCTTGCCTCCAGCCTGGTTTCACTTTCTGCAGGGTGAACTTGTTTGTTCTCCTAGCAATCCATGGCATATTCAGTACTCCAGCACCACTGCTCAAAGGCATCAATTCTTCTATCATCCCTAGTCATTGTCCAGATCTCTGACTCATAGCAAGTGATTGCAAAGACCATGGCTGGATCAGGCACACCTGAGTCCCCAGACTGACAGCGTTGCTCTTCCAGTACTTGGGAGAGGTCTCTGACAGCAGACTGGTCCAATGCAAGTCTTTTTATTTCCTGGCTGCTGGTACCAAGAGTGTTAGATTGTGGAACCAGGCAGACTAAAGCTGGATGTAAAATGTTAAGTTAGTTTAAAGGAAAGGGACTTTTTTAAGGGATAGACAAACTTCCCTACTAGCAGGTGGGGAAGGGACCCTTTCACTCCTTTGTAAGCTTATTTCCGTGGTAGTGTCATCAGGAGCTCCCACCCAGTTCTCTCCGTTTTCTTAATATGTTGTAGAGTATACATTTTAAACTGTTATTAAATCTTTTTAACTGTTTCTAGGAATTTGAGGATCCAAGGGATGCAGATGACGCAGTGTATGAACTCGATGGAAAAGAACTGTGCAGTGAAAGGTGAGAACCATTTCGTTTCCTGGTTAGCTCTGGGGAAGTTGTGGTGTTGAGTAAAATCATAGGTAATTCTAAGCGTGTAATTCTTTTTTATTTCCTTTCCATCCCATTGTAGGGTGACAATTGAGCATGCTCGGGCCCGTTCCCGAGGTGGAAGGGGTAGGGGACGCTACTCTGACCGTTTTAGTAGTCGCCGACCTCGAAATGATAGACGGTAAGTGGTGGGTGGGTGGCTGCTTTGAGTAATCTTTCCTGCTGGGACAGGTTTTAAGGTTCAAGATTGAACCATTAGTAGTAATTTTGGGGTTTATCGTAATCTGTTCTATTCCTGGGTTAACTCCACACTTCTTGATGAGTCTGAACATAGGAGTTATGCAAAAGTGTAGAAACTGTATAAGTGGAAGCCATTAAATGACATGCCATGTCTAATTCCTTGAACTTATGTGACTAAACAGAAAAGATGTATACTGCATTTCTTCCATTTTGTGCACTCATTTTCTTCCTTAGAAATGCTCCACCTGTAAGGACAGAAAATCGACTTATAGTTGAGAATTTATCTTCAAGAGTCAGCTGGCAGGTGTGTTAAAACATAGTTTTGTGTTATTTTAATGTGGCTTTTTAAAAGTTAATGGGCAATTAAAGTTTTAGTAATGCTTTATTAAAGTAGTTTTATCTTTAGTTAAATTTTGGGCTTAATTGTATCATAATTTTATAATTTTAATTAATTGTAACTGGGGGTATATTTTAATATTAGTGGTGAAATGTAAATGTATTGAGGATATTTTTTTTCATGTTTTTAAAAATCAATTTTAACCAAATATTAAACCCTTTATTTGCCAGCCTATCTGTGTCGTTGGCCTTATGACGAGGAGTGCCTGTGGGTTACCTAATCGTTGTCTTGGTCACTCTTGGTTGGGCCTGGTTGACTTTGCCAGTGAGCTCCTACAGTGACCAGTTGGCCACCTCTAGATCTGTGTTTGCCGGTCTAGACGTAATCGGTGCACTTAACTTGAAGTGCCAGGTTGCAGCGATCCCAGAACATTGATAACGTGATCTGATCCCTAAGTTGAGAGCTGTCTTCCTGTAACGCTTCCGAATATGAGATTCCTGGTCGCAAAGAGTTGAAAGATTCGAAATTAGTTGGTCGTTGGAATCCTGATCGCAGTAAAGTGGTCCTTGGTAACTGCACAAGATTAGAACGTGCCTGCATCCGTCAATAGTCCGCTGATAGGGAGGGCTGTGCGATAAAGGCTTCCATCGATTGGGTAGTGTCCTTCAAGTGGGTGGCGAAGAGCCAGTCGGGCATTTGTCGTGAAGGTTTCTCCGACCGATTAATGATTTGCTGCTTGACTAGCCTAGGGAAATAATAATAAAGGTAAAGTAAACTTTTTTAATGACATATGGGGCACAAAATAACTTGGTGTCTTGTAAATGTTCTGTTTTTAAAGATTAAATTTCTATTTTAGTCTTTTAAAAAATGTACTCTTTTTTTTTGGGTTTTTTTGTTTGTTTTTTGTTTTTCTTTTGTATTGAGATCAGTATAGACTAATACTACTTTAATATTAAATTAGTCTGAATTTTTTCCTAGCATTTTGCTTAAAAGCAATATGCTTTTTGCTTATTTCGTGCCCTGCTAGATAAATTTTGAATTCTGATAGAATACAAGTGTGGTAAAGCCATGTTTGTACTTTATCTAACATCTTCTCTTCCAGTAGTCTTTGTTCTTATACCTTGTGGTTGTTTGTGTGTCACCTTTCTCTTTCTCTGCTTGACACAACTGTCTTGTGTTAAGGATCTCAAAGATTTCATGAGACAAGCTGGGGAAGTAACCTTTGCAGATGCACATCGACCTAAGTTAAATGAAGGGTGAGTATGTACTAGAGAGTAAGTAATAAAGCCTTTTAAATGTTCTAGCCATCTGAATATTAAAGTTAGATGGCTAACAGTTTTTGAAGATTTAATGCTTGAATAGGAAAATGCAGAGATTCTCAGCCGGTGATGATTCTCCTGTTGGGATATTTGGTATCATCTGGAGACAATTTGGGTTGGCTGTCATGATTAGAGGGCTCTATTGATTGATACGCGTGGTGTAAAAGTCAGGAATGACCATTGAAGATCTTAGAAGACATAGAGCTGTTTAGCACAACAAAGACTTTTGCCCAAATTGACACAAGTGGTGTTAGACCTGGGATTTAAAAATTAGCTTTGTGCTCCATTGATCCATCAAGAAATAAACCACTAGAAACATCAACACCAAGACAGTTCTTAATCTGAGGTCACTGTGTTTTGAGTGACTTTGTCAAACATAACTTTGGTTTTTTTGTTTTGTTTTTTAAGGGTGGTAGAGTTTGCCTCTTATGGTGACTTAAAGAATGCTATTGAAAAACTTTCTGGAAAAGAAATAAATGGGAGAAAAATAAAATTAATTGAAGGCAGCAAAAGGCACAGGTAACTTCCTCCTTTTATGTTAACGCTTTACTAAATGGGTTTTCAGGGCATGTCATTTTTTTAATGCATTTATTTTTTTCTTGGTAGGTCAAGAAGCCGGTCCCGTTCCAGGACCAGGAGTTCCTCTAGGTCTCGTAGCCGATCTCGTTCTCGTAGTCGCAAGTCTTACAGCCGATCAAGGAGCAGGAGCCGGAGCCGGAGCAAGTCTCGATCTGTTAGTAGGTCACCTGTGCCTGAGAAGAGCCAGAAACGTGGTTCTTCAAGTAGATCTAAGTCTGCATCTGTGGATCGCCAGAGATCTCGGTCCCGGTCCCGGTCCAGGTCCCGGTCACGTTCCAGGTCCAGGTCCAGATCAGTTGACAGTGGCAATTAAACTGTAAATAACTTGCCCTGGGGGCCTTTTTTTTAAAAAACAAAACATAAATTCCCAAAACCATACTTGCTAAAAATTCTGGTAAGTATGTGCTTTTCTGTGGGGGTGGGGTTTGGAGGGGGGTTGGGCTGGGCTGGATATCTTTGTAGATGTGGACCACCAAGGGGTTGTTCAGAACTTAATTGTATTAAATGTCTTTTGATACGCCTTCTGCTTACATTTTTGTGAATGTCTGAAGTATATAGTTTGTGTATATTGACAGAGCTCTTTTATAACTAAAGCAGATTTAATTTTTTTTTTGTACTAGAAAAATTTTAACATTTTTGTTTCTGGTTATTCACCTATATTCAGAATTAATTTCTCCATTAATGGCTTTGGACATGTAAAAGAGCTCTAAATTTGCTTGTATATAGAGGCTTATTTGAGTTTTGTTGTTAGGGTTAAGGGTGTCCTCCCACCCACTACCCTTTATCAGCTGCAAGACAACACATCATAGCAGCTGCTTGTTATTGATAATAAAATATTATAAAACTGTTTTTTGCGTGTTGATCCGATGTGGCTTACTATTTACCTTACCCTTCCAGACACATTTTAAGCATATTTAAAACCCTTCCAAAATCCTAGAGTTAATTGGAGGTTTTCTTGAGATGGACAAATTGGTAACAGTGATTGAGTGTGTGCCTCAGGTATTCTAGCAGCACCTTTACTTACAATATTGGTTTGAGTTAACAGCGTTAGGAGCCAAGTTATAGAGAAATTCTGGGAAGCAAATTGTAAGCATTTGATTCTTGTTTAAAGGTTTAAATATAATCATTTTGATGGTCAGAAATGGTAAAGCACCTTTTTAGAAATCCATGTTTAAGTAAGGGAGTATGTTATCTTGAGATAAGTGACAATTTGTGCTAAAGGGAAAGTAGGGGAACTACCTGAGCTCTTAATATCCATCTAAAGACTTAGACAAAGGCCTCCAGTGTGCCTTCTGCTTTCTTCTAGGCGTCTTGTTGGACATTGTACGTTTTCTTGCTTTCCTGGCCTAGTCTAGACAAGTATTTGCTAACATACATAAGTGCTCAGTTGGGTAGCCTTATAATCTTTTTTTTGTATCTGAGCTAAAAACCTTTACTGAGTCTTGAAAGCTACTTAAGTTTTGCTAGAGGAAATACAAAATTTTATTCCAGGAACAAAGTACAGGGTGTATGGATGGTGGTTAATGTTGTCAATGGTAGCAGCCCCTGTCCTCACACCATCTTCAGAATTGTTGTTTGAACCTATTTAAAACCATTAAGTGTTTTAACGACAGAATTTATTCTGGCAATTAAGTATATATCAAGTTTGTTAGGAAGGTCCAGCGGACAACTTGGACTGTGAATTTGCTCTCAAAACTTTGACATAAAAATTCTTTAGTCTCCTTCATTTGCGGCATATGCAATTTTGAAGCGCCTTTTGGCTATGTATATGTAGTGAAGCTGAGAATCTTAAATACTTGTTTCCGTTTACCCATAAATTTTGGCTACAAGCAAACTTAACAGGAGTATTAGTTCTTTTGGTTTTGTTAGACTGGTTGTGTGTGTAGAAAACAATTGGAAAATGTGGGTTGAGTCAAGCAGTCCTTGACATCTTTGCTCTTGAATATTTGTAGCATGTTTTTTAATGACTGCTTAGTCCATTACTGTGGAATATGGACCCAACTGAAACTCGATCCTTGGCAGCTTGGATCTTTTCTCTGAGGTTGCTAAATAGTCCCATTTTGGCTTCTAGACACTTTAACAGTAAAATTTTCATAGTCTCCTGACATCCATTTTGGGTTTTTCCTTTCTCCTTTGTCATGCTCTTTCTATCTTACGGGGTATCTTTGATGCCTTCCCACAGTTCTTGTTTTGGATCATTGGTTTTAAATGCCTCAAACTTGTTCTTGAGATGATTCTTAAATTCAACTGAGATAAGACTCAAGGTCGTTTTAGCTCCTGTGGAGTAGTGTTTTCTTCAGCTTCAGTTTCAATTTGCACATGAGTAATTGGTGGTCTGTCACAATCAGCACCTGGTCTTGTTTTGACTGCAGATGCTGTGCTTCTCTGTGCAGGCCATCAGGTGAGGTCCATATATAGAATGCTGTTTTTAAAACAGATTATTTGCTATGAGTAAACAAATTAGATTGGCCACTTTTTTTGTTAGCAAGTCCATACTTTACTACTGCCATTCCTTCTTCATTGTTTCCAGTTTTTGCATTGCAGACCCCAGTAAATCTTAATGCAACTTGATTGCATGTTTGGTCAGTTGAATAACAGGTCTTCCTAGTATGCATATGGGTAGTAGTAGGCTGTCACAGCATTGTATCTCAGGATATCTTGGAAAGGTTGTGGACAGAGTATTCCTTGAAGTCAAGGATCTCAAAGCTTCATCTTTATGTAGCTAGGCACGATTGTTCCTTGGAAAGGGACAGTATGCTTGGAAAGGTGGGTCAGCAAAGGAGAGGAAGACACCCCCCACCAATGAGATGGATTTACACTGTGACTTAAGCAGTGGACTTAGTGTCTCAGAGATGATGAAAGGTGGAATAAGATAAGGTCAGGTTTTAGATTGGCGTTTCATAGGGTCGCTTTGAGTTATATTTGACTCAATGGCACTTCAGTCATATTTTCACTTGCCTCATTGACTATACGGAGCCCTGGTGGCCTAATGTTAAGGGCTCCACCGGCTGCACTACTTGATAAAGATGGGGCAGTCTCCTCATGTGATAGGTTGCCTCTGAAAACCTGGTGGAGGGTCAGCAATGTGTTGATTCTAATGTTTTAGTATGGATTACATCTAAACACCAAGGATTGAACTCAGTGATTTGATCTTTAATCTACAATCACTAGTAAGTAACAAATGATATGTTGGCTTTGTTCCAGAATCTGTGCCCATGTTAAAAAATTGAGACTTCTTGCTTGTGAAAATCTGCTCTCCAAAACCTCTTCAAAGAGAGAGCAATGTTGTCAGTTTGAAGACTATAATGTGTACCTTACCCAAGCCATGACCTTTTAATTCTTAAGCATGTTAAAATTGGACAATGAATAAAGATGACAGAATAATCAATGCCTTTGAGTTGTGTTGGAGAGTACAGTCCTGTTGGTTGCCAAAAGAACAAGAAATCTCTTTGGGAGGAAGCGCAACTAGGCTGCTTCTTAGCGGCAAGGATGATGAAGCTTCATCTCACATACCTAAGCATGTTGTCAGGAGGGGCTAGTCCTTGGAAAAGGACATGCTGGGGATGGTGGTGGATCAGAGAAAAGAGGAAGACCCTTGGTAAGATGATTGGTCACAGGTACTGGAACAATGGGTTCAAGTATAGAAGATGAAGATGGCACAGGATAGAGTAGGGTTCACATTTCATAGACTTCCAATGAGTTGTCACCAGACCTCAAAGATGGCATACGTTTGAAACTTACATAATGAAAAAGAGACTAAAAAGCAATTGATGAATTTAAATGGTTTAAGAGAAAATAGTGGACTGTCAAAGGAAGAAACAAATCCCTTGAAAGAAGGCTGCTTAGAAGCAGTAAGACTTTAGGGAGCTCTAGTGGCAAGAAGCTACACTATAATCCCAGAGGAGTGTGGTTCAAATCCACCAGATCCTCTGTTGGAGGAGGGCAATCTCCTGTACGGGTCAGATCTTACTTGACGGTACATACCCAAAATAATAAAGATTTCATCCCTCTTTGTTAGGCATGTTTTCAGGAGGGGCTAGTATTGTGAAGAGCGTTGTAAAGATCATCAACTTGTAGGAAGACTGAACATTAAGGATTGATGTAGTGACCGCATCAGTGGGGTCAAGCACAGAGTGTGAGGATGGTGCAGGATCAGATTTAGTCTGTGGCGGGTAGACTTGGCTGTAAATTGGAGCAGACTTGATGGTCCTAGGCAACAGGCCAATATAGTTCTTAAACATAAATTGACATGTTAATTAGCTCTATGAGAAGCTTGCTGCTAATGGCTTTTTAGTGGGAATTCCTTCAGTGGAAAAAATGGCATGCAGATAATGTTAATTCTCCAAAAGGAGCTGTTCAGGACCACAGATTAGCTTGAATTTTCCTATCCAGGGCCATTATAAACCAAGAGCATAGACCTAATTAATCCAAAGCCAAGTTTTAGTGTCTTTTGTGTAGGACAAAGTACAACCCCTGCTTTCCATGTATCCTTTGTTTTTAATTCCTCTAAAGTTTCTAATGAGCACAATTAAATGGACTGAAGCTCAACATGAAAAAGATTTCTCAACACTGGATTGATTGCCAGCATTATGATAGATGGTGAAGAGATTGTTAACAGCTTTAGTTTGCTTAGCTCCACAATCAACACTCTTGGTGTCAGCAGCCAGGAAATCAGTGACGAATTGCATTGAGAAAGTCAGCTCTCAGAGACCTTGCCAGAGTACTGAAGAGCACTGATACCAGTCTGGAGACAAAGGTGTGCCTGATCCAGGTCATAGTCTTCACAGTTACTTGCTATGCATCAGAAAGCTGGACAATGACTAGGGATGATAGAGAATTGATTTCCTTTGAGCTGTGGTGCTGTAGAAGAGTATTAAAAAACATACCATGGACTACCAGAACAAACAGGTTTGTCCTAAAGAGGGTGAAACCAGGCTGCTCCTTGGATGCAAGGATTCTGAGGCTTCATCTGACATACTTGGGGCATGTTGCAAGGAGGGAGCAGTCCTTGGAGAGGGACATCATCCCTGGAAGGGAGGAGAGAGAGACTGTTGATAAAATGGATTGATTCAGTGACATGGGTAATAAGGATAGGGGTGTCCGTAAAGATGGCACAGGATAAAGCAGCTTTCAGGGCTATTGTACATAGGATCGCTATGAATTGCAAGCCACTAGAGGACACAACAAAAGTTTAAGGGTAATACATAAGTTCATCTCTTGGGTTTTGTCAAGTTGACAAAAGGGACATCTGGTTGCATATTCTGTAGGGAATTGGATTGATGAAGGCTGAACCTTTGGGTTCAAAGATGACAG